TGAACCCGCGGGCTCAGGCAATCCACTCACCTCGGCCTCCCAAAGCGCGGGGTTACAGGCAGAGCCACCGAGCCCGGTTTAAAATCAATATCTTTAAAAAACTGGCCGAGTACGGTGGCTCACGCCTGTAACCCCAGCACATTGGAAGGCCGAGGCAGGAGGACTGCTTCAGTCCAAGACCAGCCTAGGTAACATAGCAAGACCTCGTCTCTTTAAAATAATTTTTTGTTAAACTAACCATGAAACAGGAATACTGAAACACAGCACCTCAACCTAAATTAAATAATCTTAAACAATCATTTAGTAACATGAAAAAAATGCCATGAATCAGAAAGATAACAGACATGGACAAGGAACAAAGATTAAGAAGAGTTTGTCAAAATCGGGAGCGAGGACTCAATTATAAGATGTCCAAAGGGGAAGATATTTTAGTAAAATATAGAAGTGGTATTGAGGAAAAGAATTAAAACAGTCAAGAAAATAAAAATAAATCAAGACAGCAGTAAGAAGGATTAGAGAGAAAGTGGTATCGAGGCGAAGATCTGACATACATTGCAGTCCCTGAAGAATAAAATAATGGAACAGATGTAATATTCAAAGCTGCAGTACAATAAAATTTTCTGAAAATAAAACTTGGATCTATATATTGAAGGAGTCTTCCATGAACCTAGGAAAATTTATATGGAATGATAAACTCTGCAGTATATCTTAGAAAATTAATTAGATTTGAAAGAAAAAAAATCCTCTGCATCTCATGCAAAAAAAGGACATTAGAAAAGATGCAAGTATACAAGCAACTACCAGAGCAAAAACAAAACATTACTAAACACCGAAAGTAATTTTAAAAGTTGAGCTTCAATTCGTTGTTTTCTTGCTTTTTAACCTTTCTTTACTTTCTAGTACTACAAAATGATCCGGGTTTATCTCTATATTTCCTGCCTAGTGCTAAATCAGCCATCTCTCCAAGGAGCCCTGGTTCCTTTTACCTTGGAAAGGGAGCTTAACTTCGGCGGGAAACAGGTTGAGACCAGGTGGCAAAAGGACCGGAAAGCGCCCGCGGGTCTCGAACCCCCCTCCTTCCGGAGGGCGGTTTGTCAGAATTCGGTTCTGTCGAAGGAACCGCTGAGCTAAAGCCGGCCCGGCAAACGCTTCCGGATTATGTGTTCTTGACTGCTGAGAGTCATGTGCGTCACAAAGAGTGAATCATCACAGGCGTGTTCCAGCAGGACTCCGCGTCCGACACGTACAATCCGCCTCCATCTTCAGATAATTGGAGAGAGCGTACCTGGGGGGACACACAGCAGTGAGGGCTCACCCGCCCCCTACCCCTGGTGAGCCCTTGCGCAGTTGTGTCCCCGGCAGATTCTCTCTTACTCTGCGGTCAGCTGATTCACAGGTCTCTGGATGCTCCTCCAGCCTCTGCGCTCCACCCACAAACACGCAGTCACTTTGTGATGAAATCAAGTTTCACTGCTAGTGCCTGGGTCAGGGGAGTGGAATCTTCACAAGGTGCAAGTTGTTATTTCAAACGTTATCTTAGAACTTCACTGCTAAAACAGATAAACCCCACACAGCCCCTTCCCCAGGTTTTATATAATTCTAGTATTACTACCTGTTACTATTTTAAATTATTTCAAACACCACAGGAAGGCCTGGCACGGTGGTTCAAGTCTGTAATCCCAGCACTTTGGGAGGCCAAGACGGGAGGATTGCTCGTGATCTCCTCTCTAAAAAAAATTAGTTGGGCATGATGGTGCCCGCAGTCCCAGCTACTCAGAAAGGAAAGGCAGAGGATCGCATGAGCCTAGGAGGTCAAGGCTGCAATGAACCATGATTATGCCACTGACTCCAGCCTGGGCGACAGTGAGACCTCGGCAAAAAAAACCAAAAAACTAGGAACACCTATTCCTTTTATATACACTGTACACAGCTATTCTTTCTTTCCCAAATTCCTTTTTTCTCCAGCTAACCATTTTTTATATTTCAGTGTGTATCCTTCTGGCCCTTTTCCTCTATAAATGTAACTGTACATACGACATAAGGTTTTGTTTTGTTTTGTTGCTTGCTGGGCATCTGGTTGTTGGTTATTCTCTTCCCATAACAGAATGTCTTAGAGGCATACTATGTCTTTCCTGTCAATACTTGTATTTCTAACTCACATGTATTGTAATGGCTGCATTATATTCAAGTATAAAATGTACTAGTTTGAAGTTTCATTATCAAAGCCACAGTAGGCATGTATACATATACACATAGTAGGATATGTGGTTATGAATAATTTGCTGGATTAAGTAATCTACACATTTAAATTTTTGGAGGATTTTGGGAGAAATGCAAGAGGCCCTGAGGTGCCTGAAGCCACAGGATAATCTCAAGCCATAAGCATCATCTTTTATTCCTTTAAGTACACAGGTCTGGCCTGTTAGGAACCTAGCCACACAGCAGGAGGCAAGCAGCGACTAGCAGAGCGCCTTCTGTCAGATCAGTAGCGGCATTAGATTGCCATAAGCGCACGAACCCTATTGCAAACTGCACATGCAAGGGATCTAGGTTGCATGATCCTTATGAGAAGCTAATTCCTGATATCCCACCGCCCCCTCCTTCGTCCGTGGAAAATTTGTCTTCCACAAAACCGGTCTCTAATGCCAAAAAAGGTTGGGGACCGCTGCTTTTAAAGGGCAATTCCACCAGAATGTAAATTCCATGATGTCTGGAACCTTGATGCCTGGCCTCAGAACATACCACCAGCGCCTTTAACACGCTCACCTCCTAAGCACTCATTTAGAAAAATGAACACATGTAGACTAGTCACAGGGATATCCCTCAACAAGGCAAAATTTTCATGAGTTTTAGAAAGACCTCAGAGATCAATAAAGTTTTTCTCATGGAGATGTCTGCGTTGTCTGGGATTGCTCTGAGATCTTGACTTTCTATCCAATCTCCTTCCTCTCCTTTCCCAAGACACTACCTTCAGCAGCTCCAAACACTCATGACCTAGACAGGTCCCTTTGAGACTCAAACTACTTACCAGTTCCACTAGTTTAGAGTCGAGAAAACCTGGAGTTCCGAATGCTTTTTAGTAGAGGTGACCTGACTTAAAATCCCCACTGTACCAAAGAGCAAGACCAATCACTTGAAGTTAAAATGAATTAAATGGTTTCCTAGCTGGGCGTGGTGGCTAAGGTCTATAATCCCAGCAGTTTGGGAGAATTTCCTGAGCCCAGGGATCCAAGGGCAGTCTGGGGAACTTGACATTTCTACAATAAGTTTTACAAAATTAGCCAGGCATGGTGGAACACACCTGTAGTTCCAGCTACTTGGAAGGCTGAGGCAGGATTGCTTGAGCCCAGCAAGTTGAGGCTGTCTATGGTGGTTGTTAGCGTTCCACTGCGCTCCAGCCTGGGCAACAGACTCCAACCCAAAAAATAGTTTCCTAAGAATGAATACTGCAGGGCCCAGCAGCTCACGCCTATAATCTTAGAACTTTGGGAGGTGGAGGCAAGAAGATTGCCTGAGCTCAGGGGTTCGAGCCCAGTCAGAGAAACACAGGGAGACCTCATCTCTAAAATAATCAAAAAACTAGCCTGGCATGGTGACACATGCCTGTAGTTCCAGCTACTTGGACAGTTGAGGTGGAAGGATTGCCTGAGCACAGTACGTCGAGGCTGCAGTGGTCATGAGCATGCCACTGCACTCCAGCCTGGGCTATAGAGTGAAACTCCACCTCAAACAGGAAAAAAAAAAAAAAATACTGAGCCATGGAAGTAACTCACCTCACTGAACTTTCTCCTGCCTGCCTTAGAAAGGAGTAACAAAAAGACCCAGTCAACTAGGATAGACACTCACCCAAGGACCTTGAGTGCATATAACCCTGCCAGGGAAAGCACCCACTAATCTGCCTCCAACTGGCCACAAATACTGTATTTATAACTTTGAGCCAGGCCTTGAGCCAATAGGTGGACACGTTCACATAGTGTTCCCAATGATAAGACACAGCATCAGAAATTTATTAGGTAAAAGGCATGCCTGACAATAAGGAAATTTGTACAAAAGCCCAAATGGTGCTTTGCAGGACCCACAGAGATTCAGATGCTATACAAAGGTGAGGAACTAGATGGGGCAGAGAAAGAAAACAAGCCACATGGCGGCAGCCTTAACCCAAATAGATCCCTTTTTTCAGGGTACAGAGCCAGCAAAAGTATAGAATTCATCTGCTGAGATTCCTGTAACAATAACACTTTTGTGTCTGGTTTTTTTCCTCTGCATCCCCTAGACCTGGCACAGTACCTTATCTCAGGGATACAGAGATTTTGTGGGACTGCTTTTAACCAGTCTGTGCCATCTAGTCTCTTATCAAGTGGTTCTCAATGGGAGTCAAGGGGAGATTTTTGTCTCCTCATAGGGCACATAGACATTTTTAGTTGTCACACTGTGGAAGGGGATGCTACTAGCATCTAGTAGGTAGAAACCAGAGATGCAGCTAGACATCCTACAACATATAGCCCTGCCCCCACAACAAAGAATTATCCAAACCAAAATGTCAAGTGCCAAGATTAAGTGACCCTGTGCCTAGCACAACTGCAGACAGTAAAAAAAAAAACAAAACCACGAAGTTCAACTCTGAGCTCTGCTGTTCCATAAAAAGATTAAAGGAGGCTGATATTATAGAAATAGTTTTGTCCAGACTCCTCTGGACAGATTTTGTATCAGAGGAAAACACAACTCATGCCGAAGGAACCTGGGCAAAAATAAAATTTTAAAAAGCCACAGGGGCCAAATAAAAGGAGAAGAAAATGCTCTATATCGAAATCCTCAGTGTGAAAAGTAAAAACAAAACAAAACAAAAAACACAGGAAAGAATATGGAATGTTTCCACCAAATATGCAACAGGCCCAGTCAATGTCATTTATTATACATGTCAAACAGTCTCTAAGACCCAAGGAATCCCATAGTGAGGTTTGGGTTTTGTTTTTTCATCTTCTTTTTTGCATCAGTTTCTTCCAAGAGTCTGCTCACAGGAAGACAAAAACAGAGACAACCTCAGTAAAATGAAACAAACAGGAGAAGTTGAAACAATCTACATCTGAATGTTAAAAACTCACCAGACACAAACCACACCAGACACAAACCACACCAAACACTCATCCCATTTAATTTTCTGTTACATGCTCTGAGGAAGCCAAGAACATCAGGCCCCAGGGCAGCAATGCTCGGAGATTCTAGCTCCGGCCCCTTCTGTGTGACAGATTCATGCACACGTATTCACACATACCACTGACCCAGGCAGAAGTACACATGCATGCACAGGTGGCAAGAGAACCATAGGGCAGGATGAGAGGAGGAAGCTGGTCGAGGATATGCCGTTGAACTGGAAACTGGGAACCCAGAGAATGCTTCTGTTGCAGGCTGAACAAGAGTCAAAATCAAAACCAAGGCAGAACACAGGATAAAGGTAGGATGCTCAGACAAGAGAATGGACAGATGAAGAGGGAAAGATGCAGGGGGATTTCAGGAAAGCAGTCTCAGAAGGGGAGGTTTTCCTTTATTGGGAACTTAGGTGAGTAGAGGTCCTGTGACTCCAGTGATATACTGAGGCTGAAAGAATATGCCACAGCTTTCATTACCTCTGTCTCCTGTGCCCTCTCCCAAAGTAGAGGGAAACCATAAACATCCTCCCCATTGACACTCGTAGGGACTTTCCCAGTGCCCAAAAAGAATGACCTGTCTCCCACCCCCCTAACACACACACATAGTTAGGTCCAGCATAGGCCAAAATTAGGCCAAGCATAGAAAGCCTCAATGCCTCAATAACTCTTCTTGGTGGAACCAAAGCCAGAGAAGCCCATCACAGCTGCCATCTCATCATCCTCCTCAAATGTCAAGTCCTCCTCGGCCCTCCTTTTCTTCTCCTTCTGTTTCTCTTTCTTGTACGCTTTGGCCTTTTCCTCCTGGAGGGTAAAATCACTCAGAATCAGTTTAGCATCCTCAGCCAAATGTTACTGAAAAAAAAACACATGAGCGTCAAGATTCCTTTCTATCTCTAGGAGAAAGTAACTAAAGACAAGTAAAATCTCAAGGGCAGACTAAAAGCCACAGTAAAGATTATAAGGGATAAGAAAGAGAAGTTTAAGCCTGTCAAGAGAACTTCTCAATCCTACACCCCCGTTCATTTCTAGTTCTTAACAGAGTTATAGGAGCAAAACCATATAACAGCAACTAACATTTTGGGGCATGCAGCACATGCCAGGAACTGTTCTCAGTACTTTGCATATATTATACTAACATTTCTAATATGGAGAAACTGAGGCACAGAGAGGTTATATAACCTGCCCCAAGATTCACAACCAGTAAGTGGAAGAAACAGAATTCAGAACCCCGTCAGGTGAGTTCCATGGGCCTCTTGGGGACTAAGCATATTTAATTAATTCCTCCTATCGTTTAAAATAAAAGTATGGAGGAGGCTACGCATGTGGCAAGGGAAGGAGGTGTAATGGAAAATCTTTCTACCTTCCTCTCAGTTTTGCTGTAAACCTAAAACTACTCTAAAAAAAAGTGAAGTCTTTAAAAAAAAAATTAGATGAAAGACCACAAGCGAGACAGTCCCTGTCTTACATGGCTTGTGATTTTTCAATTTTACAATAGTGCAAAAGTGATATGCATTCAGTAGAAACTGTATTTTGAATACCCATTCAACCATTCTGATTTCCACTTTCAGTACAGTATTCAGTGAATTATCTGAGATAGTCAACACTTTATTATAACATTTTTCGACTTATGATGGGCTTATCATTATCGGTATATAGCCCCATAAGTCAAGAAAAATCTGTTATCACCAAAAAAAACACAAAAAATCAGTAGGTTCAGAGAGTATAGGAGAAAAGGGTAGTTTTAGAGTCATTTCCTCCAGATCATGAGAATCCCAAACAGAGGCAATAAATGTTTCCCTGAATATGCAGAACTCAGGAGATTCAACTCTGGTGGGAATAGGATGAGGAAGAGAGTCTCCCATAATTCATAATTCAAATCTGCAGGGAGAAGGAATAGGAGAGGCTTACCTCTTCTCTGAGCTCCTTCATCCTTTCCTCAAAATCATAATCCTTCTGCTTCTCTTCCATCTTCTTCTTATTGACCTCAAAACGTTTCTTCACCTGATCCAGGGTGGAACGTTCCACACGCATAGACATGCCCAGGTTTCGCTGATCTAGGTGGTGTTAATAGTGAAGGTAAGGTCATTACAACATCCTCAGCCCTCAAGAAGTCTTTTCCTGATATCTCAGATAACATCTTCTCATCTTCCTGACATCTCATCACATAAAACACAGAGCGAAAATAATTATGGCTAAAATAAACTCCCTTGGCACCCCCTGTTCCCAGAAGCAGTAACCCCAGATAACATATTTCAAGTAGTGTCCACATGCCCTTACTAAGCAGATGAGTACCACTAGGGCCAGCTAGACTCAGGAGAAGCACAAGGTTTGACCCTGTTGACAGCCTATAACAGTACCTTACCTCATGGACTCAAGAAATAGTACATAACAAAGTAAAGAATGGCCATGCTGAAGCAACTGGAGAGTTCCCAAGGCATCAAATAAAGAGCCCAGTAGAAACCATCCTTCCCCTCCACTCCACCTCCAAAACCCAATCCCAGCCCAAGTCCAAACTACCTCCAAGCCTTACGTTTCTTTCCATTTATGTGATCCAGGAAGTTGATGGAGTCCTTCACCACACAGTCACAGACATTGCAGTAATATCTAACAGGCAAGAAGAGCACCTAAGTCAAATTTGGCTTTAAAGCTCTTATCATTTTATTTTCTTCCTTCCTTTTTGAGTTGTGGTCTCGCTCCATCACTCAGGCTGAAGTGCAGTGGCACAATCACAGTTCACTGCAGCCGCCAACTCCTGGGCTCAAGCGATCCTTCTGTCTCAGCCTCCCAAGTAGTTGGCACCACAAGCATGCACCACCATGCCCAGCCAATTTTTTGTAGAGACAAGGTGTCACTATGTTGCTCAGGCTGGTCTCGAACTCCTGGGCTCAAGTGACCCTCCCAACTCAGCATCCCAAAGTACTGCGATTATAGATGTCAGTCACCACACCCAGCCCAATCTTGTCATTCTCAACCAAAAAACTCCAATTTTTAGGTAAACTTCTTTCAAGAAGTTTTAAGCCTTCATTTCCATAAAGCTTTAGCTCTCAGGAGAGTGCAACAGCCATCCTCCAAGAAAGCCCCACCCTCCTGGTATTCCTATCCTGTGTACTCTCCTCCAATTTTGTAGCCAGGTTGGTCTCTGTGACCAAGAGAATATGTCAAATGTGATGGCATGTCACTTCCAAGATTAATTTTAAAAATACCACACCTTTTGTCTTTGTATGAATCACTTGTTCTGGAGAAGTCAGCTGGTTTGTTGTGAGCAGCCTTATGGGAAGGCCCAAAGACAAAGAACTTAGGATTCCAAACCATAGATATGTGAGAGAAGTTGGAACCAGATCCTCCAGCCCCACTTAATACTCAGATGAATGCACACTTACCTAGCCAACTCCTTGAATGCAGCTTCATGAGAGACTCTGAGCTAGGATCACCCTAGGTAAGCCACTCCCAGATTCCCTAACCAAAGAAACCATGAGCTATGCGCTGTCTATGCTGCTAAGGTTTGGGTTAATTTGTTCATTTACACAGCAACAGATAACTAATACTGAGAGGAATAACAACAGTAGGTTTACTAAGCATCTCAGAGAAGTGTCACTCATTGCCATCTGTGTTGCCCTCCTGCCAGAAAACCGAACTGGACACAGAAACAGTGGTGGGCAAAAGGGTGATGAACTCTCATGAGACCTTTCTTCCTACAGGTTATAGTCTTAGTCTGGGAAGAAGGTGCACAGTCTAGCAATCTATAACAACTACAGCCTTTGCAGCTAGTCCAGAAACCCAACCTCTCTTTCTTCACCATTAACAACTCCTAGGCTCTATTCTAGTTGCATCTGATTTCTCCCCTAGAAACCTCCTCAGTAGTCTTTTCCTTCAGAATAATCCCTTTTAAAATGTTAAATGGTAGTTGCAGTGCTAATATGAAGAAACCCTCAGAGTGACTATTCTTAGAGACACTATCACATTAACTTGAGACAGTGGGGGACAAAGAAAAACAAATCTAAAGATGGAATTACAAGCAAGAAGGATGTAACTTCTAGGGTCAGGAACCCTCCTCAACACTTCCTAAAACCAACACTGGTAGTTTATTAGATGCACTCTCAGCTGCAGAGAATAATGAAAAGTCACTCACCCTCCCATCTCAGACTGTGGGGTGGTCTTGGTAATGACAATTGTCTTTCCAAGCTTAGATTCCAGGTCCACCTTGTAGTCCCTATGCCGCAGAAGCTCTCGCTTGACTGGCTGCACCGGTTTTCCTGAAACATAATGGGAAAAGAAGTTCCTGTAATATTACAGTTCCTAACCAGAAAAGGTAAAAAAAAAAAAAATGCCTGAGACCCAAAATTCATGTCTACTCTCATTTCTTTTTTGATTCTTGAAAAAAGGGGCACAACAGGCACTTAAAGCCGCAGCTGGCAGCAGATAAGGTAGAATCTCAACACAGGAAAAAATGATAAGCAATCTTCAACTCTCAACAGTTCTTCTCCACTTTGAAGTCAGCAAGTCTAAAACCAATTAAGTTTTCTACCCCTTGATTAACTGAATTAAAGAGAGAAGTTCTGATTTTTTACTGGAAGCAACCTTTTCAAAAAAGGAGCCAAGGATATCCAGTAATGCAATCAGGCAGATACCCTAAGTATAACACAGAGAGGAACCTTTTGAGAGCTGGGAGCAAATTTTAAAAGGGGGCCCAACATTTAGGAAATACCTATTACATAACAAGCACTATCTATTACACATTACTTAAAAACTAAAAGGGTTAGTGCGTGCAAGTGGCATGGAAGTAAAGGAAAAAAAATGCACAAGTTTGAAACAGATGGCAAAATAAGACATTTCTTTTTGTGAAATGCAATCCCTGTCTAGGAGAGGAGCACCAATTCCCTGACGTTATACAAGGCACAGAAAAACAGCACTACTATGCACCAGTTGAAACAATCACAGTTTCTGGAGAGTACCCCTGCTTTTCTCAGACTATATGGGAGGGTCTTGATTGGGTAAGGGATGTTCTCCCCCTTAAGGAATTTAAGTAGAAAGAGAAGTGTTGTTGACAGCGGTAATACACAGCAGCTAAATACTCCATTTCTCTGTCAATACTAAGGATTCCACCAGGAGCTCATTAAATGAGTCGAGCAAAAGGAGGGCAAGGAAGCAGAGCACAACAGAGCTGAAGAACATCTCAAAACCACTTCAGTTCACCTCCTAACTCTAATTTTGTGCATGTAAAACCCGAGAATCAGAGAGGCAACACTCTGGCAGAGATTACACCGGGTAGGAGGGCAGCGCATTTCAACTCCCCACCCGCTCTCCGGTCACTGAATCGCCTCTATGATAGCCTTAGCCCTTGGTGGAGCAGGCACCCACCATCCTTCTTTTCTCTCTCTTCCGTGAGCCTCTTCTCGGCGAGCTTCTCGTATTCATCTTTGTCCCACTTTCGGCGAAAGTCCAAGTTTTTTGTCTGTGGGGGAAAAAAGCGCTCAAGATCCGAATCTTGTCGGGACCCCTAGAGCAACTGAGGGATTCGCGGCCAAAGCAGTCCCAGGACCTTTTGAAAGCGAAGCCTCTCTGGACCGCAGCAGGAGGCTGAAGTAGTCTCAGGAACCCGACCCGACAGACCTCCGCGATTCCCCTGACCCTGCGCCAGGGCCTTAGGGGGAAGTTCCCAAACCCAGACCCTGGGATCTCGAGGAGGTGTCGGGAAGCCCGCTGGGTGTAGGAGTTTGTCTTTATTCAGCGCTGAAAAGCCACCCCCCAGCCCCCAAACCTCCTCCTCACACACAACACCTACCCCGCTGCCCGACGCCATCTTCACAGCGATGTGAATGGCAAGCCGGAAAAAGCCGTAAAAAGCGGCCTGGAGCCGTAAGGCAAGATGGCCCTCCAATAAGCTTAGAGTCTCAGGTTCTAAACGAGCTAAGACTGGAGGACTTCTGCAACAAGCTTATTGGCCCCGCCTCTGCTCCAAGGAGATAGCGCAGGCGCAAGAGGAGCATGAAGCAACACGGAAGTAAGGGCGCCTGTACATTTTCCTTTTTTTTTTTTTTTGCTTTGGCTTTCAAAACAAACATTGAAGGGCCAGTAGATTTAGTTCAACTGTTTTACAAACGAGGAAACTAAAGTTCGGAAACAGTGGTATCTGATCTAGTCTAATAAACGTTGAATGCATTGCCAGGTTTCTAAACTTTCTTTAAAGCTGAAGCGCTGCTGTTAGGGGTTCTGGATGACCCATTCATCCACAGGTACTAGGAATAAGGCTACACTGAAGTGCTTACAACAGCAACACCTTTCCTAATGCCTATACGAAAAGCATGTTTTGCACTTGGGCTATTTTTCTTGAAGCAGTGTTATTACCCTTTGGTTAACTAATTTTTCCATCAACTGGGGAACATTATAGTCCTTCAAGCTGGCAGGCATAATCTAATCAATATGATTGGATTTAGCGAGGCCAGTCATCAGCAACACTCTAGAGTCAAGACTCTAGAGAGTCTAGACTCAAGACTCTAGAGAGTCTAGACTCAAGTGAGTCACTCTGGTAGATGGCTCACTATATGTTAATTTTTAGCAATATAACTGTATCTCCAAGTTGGCGGGGGGAAGAGGAAGGAGGCACTGGTGGAAGAGAAGCATCACCTCAGGAAGGTTACTCCTAGTTCACAGAATTCTCCAATGTACACTTAAGCAGTTTTCTACAGACTATGCAAAGCAATCCCTCGATAACAAATTACCCAAACTACTAAACTTAGTATTTTATTTAACATATTATCCAACCACATCTAGAACAGCCTCCATGGCAGGGCATGGAATAGTCAGAGCAGTGATTCTGGCACAGGAAATGGTCTCCAAAATCTTAAAAGATCAGATCTCCACCTTGTCAAGTCACCTATTAAGTTCAATGTTCAAGATTATTAAAGAGACAATTCCACCCTGCTATTGTTAGCACTGGATGGGCTAGGGAGATGCCATGCCCTTGGAATATCATCTCTGTCTTCAAAGATGAAAGCCACTGCCCCACCTTGCCATCTTCCAAAAACTCCCTGGTCAGGCCAAGGGCTGGTTGTGGACAAATTCCCCAGAACCGAAGCCACAGTGGAAGGCTAAGTATTTGGTTTCTGATCTCAATGCTTCAGAATCCTCAGCTCACAGCAACCATCTCAATATCTCTTGATGGCATTCAGTGGCAATTCAAATTTGCATCTGCAGGTACAGCATGTCTCTTTCACATACCAGCCAACTGCACCCATGCAGTATAGCTGCTCACACTAGCCAAGGAGTCCTCAGGGCCTTCTCTAGTTTTGTACCCAGGAAGAATGGAGGAGGCAGAAAGTACTTGTCACCATCCTGGCCAGCTGTCGTGAAGTTAGTCCATCTGAAACTTAGCTCAAGAGGAAGCCTTTCTACAAAGACCAGCAGATGGCAGACAAGGATCATGACTCAGACAGTCGCTTCTGAATTTCAACCACAAGATTTTCCCGTTTAATGGCCACCTGAAACATAAAGAGAATCCTCATGTGACAAACTAGAAAGTGAGACTAGCTCCTTAGTCACCATTTTTCCAGATTCATTCTAGTCTACATCTGCTCCCACTATTTATACAACCACTAGGGAGTAGCAGGCTTCAAGCTGATCTGGAGAATATATATTCTCAATAAAGGCATTAAAACACCTGATCTAGGTCTATGTTGTTGACTAGTCTCAAGATACTCAGATGTCACTTTTATTTCTTCTGGCCACCCAGCCAATACTCATGAGTTGCAATGGTTATTTGGAGTAGGTTTTCATTCATTTCTATCACTATTAACCCTGAAGATATCTCCTCAGCCAAAAGATAGATATTTCTTAAAGAACCCGGAAAAGGTAGAAGCACTTGGTCCCTTATTTTTCTGCTTGCCCCCACTCACCTCTTCTCTGCTGGCCACTGAACGGAGCTTGATGATCCCTTCCTTCAGTTCTTGCTCACCAATAATGACCACCAGTGGAATGCCCATGTTCTCACAATAGTGCAGTTGCGTTAATAGTTTAGGATTGTTCTTGCATAGCATCTCTGCCTAAAAAGGGTCAAGACAGAGTAAGCAACTTAGAAGTGAAAATAACAAACCCCCAAGAACGTGGATTTCCAAGAAAGCCAGAAATAAGTGGCTGGCCCTCCTACCCTAAGAAGCCACTCTAGTAGTTTGACTAAAAGATCTTGAGTTCTACCTTAGGTATAAGGTAAAAATGGACATGGTTTCTAAATTCCACATATACCCAGATGACTCAAATATCAGCTCCACTATACCTTGATCCCAGCATCCCAAAGCTCAGTAATTAGTTTCATCCGTTCTAGGAGAAAGTTCTTCTGTGGTGTGGCCACAAAAACTTGGGTCTCTGTGGTTCGTACCTTCTCACCAGAAGTCTGATAAGAGAGAAGAAAATGAAATGAATAAAAACCTTCTTTGCACCAACAATTAAAAAAAAGACAAAAAGAATCATCATAAAAACAGTTCAATAACAACTCCAGAAATAGGAAGGTTTAAGGCCTCTAGCCCCACCTTACTCCTACCTAGGACCTACCTTCATCCTCTGCTCCACAATGTAGAAGATTCGCTCTACCCCAATACTGAGCCCCACACATGGCACCTTGTGGCCTTTGGGGTCAAACATGCCTACCAGCCCGTCATAGCGCCCACCAGCAGCCACACTGCCCACGTTCAAGGGCTCATCCCTAGCCTGAGCCGGGGTCTGTAGCAGCACTGCTTCATAGATCACTCCTGTATAATAGTCCAGGCCCCGAGCCAGGCTTAAGTCAAAGGAGACCTGTGGGAACAAGGGTAGAGTCAGTCCCACATTAGACTCAGGACCCTGAGAGCCCCAGGACTCAGCAGGAGGTCCATCCCCAACTCAGCTTACCTTCTCAGCAATTCCAAATGAAGTCAGGTATTCAAATAGCAGCTTCAGGTCTCCCAGGCCCTCCAGGGCTTGTTTACTCTGAGTTAGTCTGGGATCCTGAAACATTTGCTCTACCAAGGACACCCCACCTAGAGAGAAATAAGGTCTGTGCTGTTCACTCAGATGTGTTTCATCCAAATTTATCCCTAGTGTGCTCTAGCTAGTCTGCGTCATTTTTTTTTAAGATAAAAAGAAGATGATGATGATCCTGGTCTCATGTGACCAGACCCTCCTCCGCTGCCTCTACCTTTACCATCTGAAGACACAAAGTGGTTACAATAAGTAAAAGGGAAATTAAAATCAGATCAGGCTTTGGAGCTTAGCATATCTATAGAAAGGAGCTGTTCCGGCCGGGCATGGTAGCTCAGCCTTGAATCCCAGCACTTTGGGAGGCTAAGGCGAGAGGACTGCTTGAGTCCAGGGGTTCTAGACAGCCTGGGCAACTTGGTAAGACCTCGTCTCTACAATAAATCACAAAAACTAGCCAGGCATGGTGGTGTGCGTTTGTAGTTCCAGCTACTTGAAAGGCTGGGGCAGAAGGATCACCAGAGCCCAGTAGGTTGAGGCTGCGGTGGCCGTGAGTGTGCCACTGTACTTCAGCCTGGGTGACAAGAGTGAGACTACAACTCAAAAAAAAAAAAAAAAAAGAAAGGAACTGTTTCAGAGGTAGAAGGTGAACATGTCATCTTCAGCCTTGTTCTATCACAGCTCTGAAAACCCTGGTTCTTACCATGACATTGGACATACTCCCCAATTCGATCAGCCACCTCAGGAGCCAGGCCTTTCTTTGCCACCATCTCATGTCTCACCTCTTTCCAAGACATCTGCATAAACACCCGAACATTAGCCCAGTCCCAAGATCTTTCTTTCTCAAACTGGAAAAGGACAATCTACTTTCATTCAGTATGTATATCATGAGTAGCTAGCTAATTGTATACTCAGCAAAGTCAGAGGCAGCTTAAAAAATCCAGCCACAATCCCCACAGTGCAGCACAACTGAGATCTTGCTTTAGAATGCCTCCTTTCCTTCCTCACATAAACAGTCCACTTTCAGCCACTGTCTCATTATTTTTCTTTAACAATGTGGATTTAAGGGCAGGGTAAGAATCTAGATAGGGTCTGTTGAAGCATGTCTTCTTTGTTACCTTGTCTAGTTTGTCGATTGAGGAGCCGATGGCACGAAACTTGCTTTCAGGAACACCACAGACGGCAAACATTCCATCCATAATCCGCCGGTCACTGACCTGTGAACTCGATATAAGTATCCAAGTTCCCTGTCGATGCCCTTTCTCTCAAAACAACGGCAGTATCTACTCTTCTGACTCATAAAAGGGATAGAAAGAAAATGTATATATACCAGAAGAGTATATATATATAGGAAATACAACAGTTGAACTAAAAAAGTTCTAGAGCTACACCTATGGGATCACCTATGTTTGGGACTTCCATAAACAGTATCAGGCAAATTCAGATTTCTCCCTTAGTTCTCAGCCCTGGCCTCACCTTAATGTGAAAGTCCCCCAGCTGCAACCCATTTAGGATTTCACATATGATCTTTAAACATTCCGCATCAGGGATCATAGGGTCAAACTGACCAGCAATGTCAAAATCCTACAACAAAGAATAAGGAAAAAAAAAACAAAAAACACTAATCAGCCAATTCCAAGGTTGTGGCCCCCAGAACTATCAAACCATGCAGCTCCCATCAGTCACTTACACACTGGCAGAATTCCCTGTAGCGGCCTTGGACTATGGCTGGGCTCTCTCGCCGCCATACCTTTCCAACTTGATAACGTTTCATCTTTTTCACTTTATGCATGGCCAGATAACGAGCAAAAGGGACCTCACATAAGTAAGTTAAGGAAGAGGGACACTGCATTCAAAGCTTCGGCCCAATATACAGACACTTGATGATCCAAGGCCTAGCAGTGCTTGGCATTCAACATATATTGAATAGTGTCAAATGAAGAAAACTCACCTAGCAAAAGTAAGAGTTTAGCAGAAAATAAGGGAAGCAGTGATAGAAGTGACCCAGGAACTAACTTCAGGTCTGGGTCATTTCCTCCCACCCCAAAATAGTTAAGCTTCAGAACTTAGACTTGCCTAACAACTTCTAAGCCATTGTTTCTGAAATTATAGGCCAAGGATCACATGAATCTTAATTACCCCGGATGCCTGCTTAAAATACAGATTGTTGAGCCCCACTCCAGCTATAGAATTCAGAATCTCTGGGACTGAGGTGAGGAATTTTTGTTTCTGCAAGATTCGCCCAAAGGATTTTTTTTTTTTTTTTGAGTGGGTTCTCCCTCTGTTGCCTTGCCCAGGCTGAAGTGCAGTATGGTCATAGCTCACTATAGCCTCGTACTCCTGGGCTCAAGCAATCCTCCTACCTCAGCCTCCCAAGTATCTGGGATTACAGGCACATGCCACTATGCCTAGCTAAGATATTTTTAAATTTTATTCTTTTTTTCTAGAGACAGTGTCTCACTATGTTGCCCAGGCTGGTCTCAAGCTCCTGGGCTCAAGCAATCCTCCCACCTTGACCTCCCAAAACACTGGGATTGTAAGTGTGAGCCACAACACCCAGTCCAAGGGATTCTGATACACATTAAAGTGAAATAGGGCCGGGTGCACTTTGGGAGGCTGAGGGGAGAGGACTGCATGAGCCCACAGATTCGAGACCAGCCTGGGTAACTTGGCAAGAGCTCATCTCTACAATAAATCAAAAAATTAGCTGGGCATGGTGGCACACACCTATAGTTCCAGCTACTTGGAAGACTGAGGCAGAAGGATCATCTGAGCCCAGCAGGTCAAGGCTGTGGTGGCCGTGAGCGTGCCACTGCACTCCAGCCCAGGTGACAGAGTGAGACTCTGACTCAAAAAAATTAATAAATAAAAGAAATAAAAGCAGCACTGCCTTCTGGGAGAAACTGAAAGTAAAGGCTGCTACCAGTGGAACTAGAGGGTCCCAGAGTTACTCTCCTCCCTTTTGTCAGTGAAAGCCCTCTGGATTTATAAAGAGAAAGGTCAGGCTCCAGCACTCAGAAGGATACAGTAAGGTCATAGCGAAGGGACAACAGCTCTCCACCCTGATCCTTCAGATCATATATAAGCCCAGAGTCCTCTCCATACTTCTCAGTGAGTATTTCCTGCAGGAGTCAAAAGAAAGAGCCACAGTTCAAAGGATGACTCAGAACATAGATGTGAAGCCCTTTGGGATACTGAAGGTAAGTGAGGAAATGGGGTTCCAGGCACTCTTTCTTCTCCCCCTTACCTTTAGCTCAAATGCTGGGGTATCCAACCCTTTTGCTCCATGACGTTTAAAACAACTGACAACTAAATCAAGAATTTTCTCCCTTACAAGCACCTGCTGGGGACTAAGATCCCTGGTACCCTGGAAACCAAAAACAGTCATAATGAAAATAAAAACAAAAAATAAGTCGATTTCAGATAAGGAGTTAAGCTACACCTATAATCTAAAGAGGTCTGGAGCTGAAATTCTTGAGTTCAGATGACTCTGAGCCCCCTCAGCATCTGAAGAATACTTGGGTTCTTTTTGTTTTTCAATTTAGCTTAAAGGACATCAAAAGGGGTCAGAGAGACAAGCAAGGTAGAGGTCAGTCCTCCAAGGTATTCTAACGGGATAGGGTAGGCAAAGGGTATTACCTTTGGGGTCTTGATAATAAAATTTGGTTTCTCTTGATGTGGTTTCAGTTGAGATGTCAACACTGGCTCTGCAACCTGGCAGAAGAAGGAATGTGAGATATGACTCCTCTTGACACTGGTCACACCTGTGACATCTCTCATCCTGTGGACCACCAACCTGCAAAGACTCTTGATCCTGAGCAACAGGAAGCTAGAGCATCATTTCATCTATTCTAATCTCAGCCCTGCCCCCAAGAGTCCACATTGTATCTACAATTATACATGTAAAATATATCAGGTCTGGTCTTCACCACACAAAATGCTTCACTAAACTTAGAATCTTTAAATGTCCCCCAAAATGTAAACACCTGAGAAAAATGAGGGCATAGAACACCACTACCACCAATGACCATTTAGGGGTAGGGACTGTTATGATTTTCTCCAGTTCTCAGTTCCAACTCAAACAGCAAAAATAAGAATTTTAATAAGGTAGCACTGGCTATTGAGGTTGGAATTAGGGAAAATGTAATGCGAAGACAAGAGAATCTGCCCAAGTGCACAGAGCAAGCCTGTGGAATTAAAAAAAAAAAAAGGATTTCCTGACTGAACAAAAAGTCTAGACTGGTAAGATACTGTGGCTGCATATTAATAAAAGATCTAGCTGGACTCGGTGGCTCAGCCTGTAATCCCGCACCTTTGGGAGACTGAGGTGAGTGGATTGCCTGAGCCCGCGGGTTCGAGACCCGCCTGGCAGCTAGACCTCATCTCTACAATAAATCAAAAAATCAGCTGGGCGTGGTAGCACATGCCTGTAATTCCGGCTACTCGGAAGGCTGAGGCCGAAGGATTGCCGGAGCCCAGCAGGTCGAGGCTGTGGTGGCTGGGAGACTCTGGACTCCAAAAAAAAAAGATCTAAGCCCTGTTACTCATGATAGCCCAAAGCATCTGCTATGAGGACAGTAGAGTCTTTTCAGTGTAACGCAAAACAGAATCAGTCACTTTATTACCAGCAGGCTGTATGCCCTTCCAGAAATAGCGGGTGTGGTAGTTCCATACTATGGTGATTCTCTCCCCCAAGAAGTCAAAGTTCGAGTCCTCAATCCCTCATCTGTAATTTCAAAAATCTGTAAAATTTGAAAATATTTTGAGGCAAATTCTAACATGAACTCAAATCTACTTATGATCTTTAGTCATCACCTTTAGAGGGAATATTCATATTTTGGTTTATAAATTATCCCTGTGTTTGATTCCAAAAGTTTCAGATAAAGGAGTGTGGACCCGTATTAAAATACTCCCTTACTATCTGTAGATCAGTCATTCAGTTAACCTTGCTGCCTTTGTTTCTGCAACTGTAAAATGGAAATAACCCAAGCCTCTCAAGATTTGTTTTAAGGATTAAATGATAAAGCATCGAAACAGTTCAGTGCCGGTACACAGTGGGCACTCAAAAGCCGACTCCAATACTGGAGTACAGGCCTCAAGTCCATGCTTTCAGACCTAGAGGCCCTGCCGGGACAGACCGAAGCTAGGAGCTAGTCCTGTCTCGCTCACCTGGCTTCGACAACGGACTGTCCCAGTGCACGAAGCGCAGGGCGGTCGCAGTAGTTGGCTGAGCAGCGAAGCCCAGGCCCTCCTAGGAAGGAGTCCGAGCTGGGACATCGCGCCGGCTTTTCGGACCAGGAGCCAGAGGTTGGGGCCTAGGCGGGCCGGATCCCAGAAAGGGTGCAGGGTGCTGCAGAGTCGAAACCCGAGCACAAGCAAAATACCCGGGCGTTTGTGCACCTCAAAGTCCCGCAGGCTCACTTCCGAGCCTCCCGGGACTCCTTAGCAGTCCGCCTTGGCGACTCCCATAGGCGCCGGAAGTAGTTTTTGTGGCTCGGCGGAGGCTCTCTAGGCGTGCGGGCCAGCGACTCGATAGCCGGAAGTCATCTGGCTGAAGCAGAGGCTGCCGCTGCAGTTCTAGGCAGTCTCAGCTCCAGTTGGCAGCCGGTATGGCAGAACGTGCTGGACTGGAGGAGCTGGTGAAACTTCAGGGAGAGCGTGTTCGGGGCCTCAAGCAGCAGAAGGCCAGCGCCGAGCAGGTGTGACCTAGGCGGCAAGGGAGTGGCCAAGGCAAATCCGGGGAGGACGTCAAGCCGGGTGGGGTGGTCTGGACATAGGACAGGGATATGAAGGAAGGGACCGGGCTGGTAGGGAGGAGAGTGGGTTAGGTGAAAAGGTATCCGGAGCGGATCTCGAGAGAGGCAAAGCTGGGCCTGAGCAGAGGGATTTACCCCAGATCCTGATGAGGGAGGAATATTGAATGAATGGCAGAGGAGGGAGGAGAGTGACAGATGGATAGCCCAGCCCTTTATTTCCCTCCACAGATCGAGGAGGAGGTGGCAAAACTCCTGAAACTGAAGGCACAGCTGGGCCCTGATGAAAACAAACAGAAGTTTGTGCTTAAAACCCCCAAGGTAATAACATCATCCCTATAGGGAGCCTCTGAGGGTCCCTAATTCCATTCACATATGTCTGTTTCCCTGAACCAGGTCATTGGGGAGGTTCTGAATACTGGGCGCTAGGCTGGGCTAGACTCCCCCTGAGTCATTCTAGGATGGCAAAGTGTTGGCAGAAACTAGGCCAGCTAAGTGGTCAGGAGAGTCAGCCTGCTACTGCTAAATCCTTTCATAAAGTAAATATTTACTTAGTGCTTACTATGTCTCCAGCACTGTACAAAGCACTGAATATACCATGGTGGACAGTATAACCTGCTCTCATGGAGCTTACACTCTACCAAAGGAGACAGACTTAGAACAAATAGTCCCACACATGGATATATAATTATAAATTGTGATAACTGATATAAAGAAATTAACAAGGATGCTTTGAGAAAAATAAGGGAGAACTAGGGAGTCTGAGAAATCCTTACTGAAGAAGTGATACACTAACTGACCTAACAGATGAGTAAGGAGATAGGGGAAGAGTTTGACAAAGATAGGTCCAAGTAGAGTTTAGAAACCCTGAAGCAGGAAAGAACTTTGGTAGTTTTCAATAACTAGAAGAAGACCTATGGCTTGAACCAAATAAAGAGGGAGAATAGAGTGGAATGAGATAGGAGATTCTTGTCTTCTCTAGTTCAGTTCAAATGCCACTTTCTGTAAGTTCTATAAACAGAACTATTTACCCCTTCTTCTAGGTTCTCTTGGCACTTCATACATATTTCTATTACTGCACTGACTTTAAGTAGTTATTCGTGTGATTTATTTACCCTGAGAAACAGACTAGATGCCAAAGTAGGTATACAGGGGCCCTTCATATCCTAGAGTTTCACAACCACAGATTCAACCAACAGCTGATCAAAAACATTCAGGGAGAGTGGTGGCTTGTGCCTGTAATCCCAGCTACTCCAAGAGGCTGAAGCCAGTGGCTGGCTTCAGGTTAGGAGTTCAAGATTACAGTGAGCTATGTTCATGCCACTGCTCTCCAGCCCGGGCAACAGAGAGAGGCCCCATCTTTACAAAAAATAAAATTTAGCCAGACATGGTGGTACATGTCTGTGGTCCTAGCTGAACCAGGAAAATCAATTCAACTCAGGAATTTGAGGTTACAGTGAGCTACAAATTATGCCACTACACTCCAGCCTGGGTAACAGATACCCTATCTCTGGAAAATAATTTTTTTTTTAATTCAGGAGGAAGAAACACACTAAAACAACAAAGATTCAAATGAAAATAGAGTATAATAGCCGGGCTCGGTGGCTCAGCCTGTAATCCCGCGCTTTGGGAGGCTGAGGTGAGTGGATTGCCTGAGCCCGCGGGTCCGAGACCCGCCAGGGCAACTTGGCGAGACCTCATCTCTACAATAAATCAAAAATTAGCCGGGCATGGTAGTGCATGCCTGTCGTTCCAGCTACTTGGAAGGCTGAGGTGGAAGGATCGCCGGAGCCCAGCAGGTCAAGGCTGCGGTGGCCGGGAGGAGCCACTGCACTCCCGTCTGGGCGACAGAGTGAGACTCCAACTCAAAAAAAAAAAAAAAAAAAAGGGAAAATAGAGTATAACAAGTATTTATATAGCATTTACATTGTATTATGTATTACAAGTAATCTAGAGATTATTTATTTAAAGTATACATGAGGATATGTGTAGGTTATTTCCCATTTTATATAAAGTACTTGAGTATGCATGGATTTTGGTATCCATAGGGGTTCTGGAACCAATTCTCCAGATACCAAGGGACTACTATATTTAATAAATGTATTTGAAATTGAAATCCAAAGGAAGGGGGAGATGGTCTACCTTCTTTATGTTAAGGTTAACTCTTTGGGCTCTTAAATTCATTGAACTGTTTCCTTTCTCCCTACAACGCATTTTCGAAGTTTATAGAGACAGTGTAAAATCCCAAAAGTGGTGGTGATCAATGATACTTCAAACTATTAGGTGAAAAACTTAATGGGGAATTTATGATAGATTAGTCTGTCCTCACCTAAACTCAATGATCTGTCTTTTTTTTCTTTTCTTTTTTGAGTTGAAGTCTCATTCTGTCACCCAGGCTAGAGTGCAGTGTATATTCACAGCCACCAACCTTGACCTAGGGGGCTCAGTGATCCTTCTGCCTCAGACTTCCAAGTAGCTAGAACTACAGGCATGTGGCACCACACCCAGCTAATTTTTTATTTATTGTAGAGATGAGGTCTCTCCAAGTTTCCCAGGCTGGTCTTGAACCCATGGGCTCAGGCAATCCTCTCACCTCAGTCTCCCAATGTGCTGGGATTCTAGGCTCGGCCCAATGATCAGTCTTAACATCACTAAAGGTAGAACAACCAGACATTATGTTCCTGCTGTTGTGATACAATAAGAAGTACACAGCACCACCTATGAAGTGTTCTTGCCGAGTGAAATTGAGCCTGAATCTAATCCGGCCTTTGGATTATCAGTTTACAGGAAATACTGGTGATATAGAAACATATTAAATGACACGTCAAGGATATTGTTAGTCTAGAATGTGAGAAATTTTTTAGGATAAGTGATCCAAAATTAATGACATTTTTTTTTAAAGGAAAAGGAAATTATTGTCGATTAAATATCAACCAATTACAACATACAGACTTTGTTTAGAATCTGAGTCAAATAAGCCAACCATAAATAGATATTATTGAGGCAACTGGGTAAAACTGAACATGGTTTAGGATTAGATAATATCAAGGAGTTGCTGTTAGCTTTATAGGTTATAATAAGGTATTACAGTGTTTGAGTTTTTTAATGTCCTTACATGTCAGGGAAATTGAAGTATTTATGGATGAGATTATATAATATCTGGGATTTATTTTAAAACATGTAAGAAAAAAATGTCAGGGTTTAAATAAGAATAACATGTTAATGGTTGTTGAAGCTGGGTAATGGATACGTGATGACTTATAATACTATTCTCTGTAGTGTGTCTTTGAAAATTCCCATAATATAGTGTTAGAAGAAAATAAGTTTATGCTGGAGAGTTAATATTCACTTAATGGTAAAGTGCCTAAACAGCTCTCTTCTTAAACACCTAGTGTGGCAGACATTCTACTAGGCCTGTTTTTTACAAATCAGAATAAAATATCTGATATCACCTTTGCCATACACACTCATCCAAGAGGACTGCAGTTTAAGAGAGCAAGAGTTTTGAGGTCTTGATGGTTTTGCCATGAAATCAAAGGAAATCATTTGACAGAAACCTTATGATTGCTGTTTATTTGACTTCTTTGTATCCTATATGAACTACAGTAAATGAGAAAGAAGATTTTTAAAAATAACAATAAGACATTATTTGCCTTTTTTACTATGTTAACATTTGTACTGAAGATACAAAAACACTGATGGGTAGAACTTCTGGTGCCTTAGCATGAATTTAGATAGTAGCACTACACTGTACTAGTATCCAGTATATTCTTTACTACTGTGCACTTATAGTAAAAATAAAATAAAATTCAGTTTAACTTAAGAATGTCTTTGGCTGGGCGCAGTGGGTCACGCCTATAATCCCAGCACTTTGGAAGTCTGAGGTGAAAGGATTGCCTGGGCTCATGGGTTCGAGACCATCTTGGGCAACTTGGCAAGACCTCATCTCTACAGTAAATCAAAAATTAGCCACAGGTTCAAGACCAGCCTCTATAATATTATCAATATTGTCAAGGCCTTGTCTCTACAATAAAAAAAAAATTAGCTGAGCATGGTAGTGCACACCTGTAGTTCCAGCTGCTTGGAAGGCTGAGGTGGAAGGATCTCTGGAGCCCAGCAGGTCGATGCTAGGGTGGCCATGAGCATGCCACTGCAGTCCAGCCTGGGTGACAGAGTGAGATCACAACTCAAAAAAATAAATAAATAAAGTAGCTGGGTATGGTGGCACATGACTGTAGTTCCAGCTGCTTGGAAGGCTGAGGCAACAGGATCACCTGAGTCTAGCAGGTCGAGGCTGCGGTGGCCGTGAGCGTGCCACTGTCCTCCAGCCTGGGTGACAGAATGAGACTCCAACTCAGAAAAAAAAAAAAAAGAATGTCCTTGATAAAACAGTAAAAATCACTAATTGTATTGAATCTTGACTCTTTATGTGAAATGGGAAGTACACATAAAGCACTTCTGCTGCACCCCAAGGTTAAGAAAACACTGTGCCATTGTTCAAGTTGTGAGATGAACTAGCTACTTTTTTTCATGGAACACCTTTTTTTGTTTGAATGAATAACTGAAAGACAAATTATGGTGTTTCAATGTTGGATATTTGGCAGATATTTCTACAAAAAATGAATGAAGTCAGCCTTGAAAAACATCTGACAGTATTTGCTGCCAGTGATAAAATTCCAACAGTCAAGTGGAAGTTAGAATTTTAGAAAACTTTTATCTTTCACCATGAGCCTGACAGCTTCTCAATATTTAAAGACTTTTTGATAAGATCTGTGGTGATATTAATAAGTATGGTTTTCAGATATTGTATGAAATATACCAATATTTGAAAAATTTATTATAAAATAATACATGAGTAAAGGATCCATTCAAAGTCCAAGATACAGTAATGAATTTTTTTTGTGGAAAAATATACATAACATAAAATTTACCACTTTAATGATTTTTACATGTACATGAATTACATTTTCCTCATTATATACCCATCACCACTATCCATCTATGGAATTTTTTCATCATCTCAAACTGAAACTGTATCCACTAAATAATAACTCCCAACTCATCCTCCCTCCAGCCTCTGGTGACTGTTATTCTATTTTCTCTATTTTTTTTTTTTTTTTTGAGTTGGAGTCTCACTCTGTC